TAGGTGGTGTATGGGGAAGATATATCATAATAAAGGTGCTGTCTTTGGTGTAAATTAAATTACTCCGTAAATGAAAAAGTCTGTGCAATGCATGTAATGCAGTCCAACAAAAAAGTACCTCCTCAATTCCTAAAAAGATTGACACAATTTAACGTTTTTGGTCAGACTGTGATACTCTTTGATCACGAATTATGAAAAAATATATTTGGTTATAATGTAAATTTAGTAAAATTGGATTAATTTTAAAGTATAATTTTGGAATATTAAATTCTTATAAAATTTAATTATTTTAAATTATATTTCATTTATAGTCAAAGAATGTCAAGGTTTGACAAAAAAAAAGAGTTAAACTGTTAGAATTTGTTAGAGACGTGGAGGGACTAGGGAGTAAATAAATAAATGGAGAGTGAAAGTTGAATGAATGAGTAAAATATAAATATGGTGGGGGTGGAGTCCAGACTGTCAACATATAAACATCATATATGCATTTATTTTTTGTGTTTGTTATTAGATGATGAGTGTGCATTCTTGTACTGGCCTGCCCAACAACAGCATTAGGACAAACTCACCCTCAACATATTCGATGAATGTTGTGTGTGTGTGTGTGTTTTCAATTTTTTGTGTCAATTTTTCTTTGTTCAGCTCAGTAAAAGATTCTGTATTTTGACAGTCTCAAGTTCTCTTTTCCATCTTTTTTAAAGGAAAGAAATTTGAAATAATTTCGATGGATTGAACCTTAAATTGCACCCCACTGATCCAATGTCTTAAGAGGCGTTCATTGACCCCAAATCGTATTCTATGTTTGTGATGTGAGTGCCTGCATGGGCAACTCAGTTGGATGGATGAACAGAGATTGAGTCCCGCAAGTGACAGTGTGGGAGCTATTCAAAAATTCCACAAAGGGTGAGGAGGCTCTTTGTGTGCGGTGGGCACAAATCTAGCGTTCTTGACCGACTGAGTCACCATCATTTATCTCCTCCACCATTCCTGTCGGGCCAGGGGGTGGGGGCGCCTGAGGTGGGCGATTCCAATCATGGCTTAAGAATAAGGCTTCTTTGGGTGCCCCCATAGAGGAATTTCTAAGAGCTTCAAACCGAAGAGTTTCTTCACAAGAGAACTCTTGTTCAAATTTTAGGTCTAACATTCTCGAACGTTCCTCTACACTACGAAACTCTCACCCAACCATTATCCCTCCTTTTTTTAATATATTTGAACAATATATACTTACTCTATTTCTTTTTAACGTTCCGATTCACTTTTTGAGTTTTTGTTTAACCAACAATAATTCTTAAAATACACGGAGTACCAACAAAAAATATTTAAAAAAATAATACCTCATCTGTCCTAAAATTATCTTTGCAGTTACTATTCACATAGTCAAATTTAAATCACTTTCTTTACCTATTTTCGCTACTTATTTAATAAAATAATATAGTCTTGTCACCTCTCGGTTTGTAGAACTTTTAATATAATTTTTAAATATGTAAATTTTATTTTTTAATTGAATTAAAAATAAAATTAGTCATACTCGTAAACACAAACAGAAAGATGATTTTAGGACGGAAAGAGTACATAAAAAGTATTTTTCAAATAATTTCTATATTTTAATCTATTACATCGTATATTCTTCGAAATATAGCTATTGAAACGTTCGGCATGTAAAACGATTCATACAATTATAGACTAATGGAGGAAGTACTTAGGAACACTTAAATACTACTTAAATCATACTACGTATACTCTCCCTCGACATCTCTTTTTTATTTCTATAAACGTATTAATCTACTTTGTTTTTTTAAATTAACGTTACAAATTTTGATTATTAATGAAATGAAAATTGAATTATATCGTCGTAATAGAATGTATTAGTTTTTTCAAAATCCTCTTGGAAGGCAAATATAATCAGGTCCTTTTTTGCATTAATATTAAATACAAATTTTATTTTATTAACAAATATTCTTAGATGGAGGTATTTAAATGTTATCAGTGTATTTTAGTGTGCAAGGTAACACTCTCTCCCTCTGAAAAAATAGGAGTATATTATTTATTTGATTTTTCTCAATTAAAATTTAAGTAAAACTACATTTAGTAAACCATGCATGATCAAAACTAATATCCTCATTTATTTTTTAAAATGCATTTTTGATACGTATATAATACTTTTATGCAGTAATATTTATCCATATGATTGGTAACATATTTATCCTTCTATCCTTAAAAGTCTCTCTTTTTTTCTCGTCTCGAAATTTCTTTCTTCTTTCGATTAAAAAACATACTTTTACTCTTACTAATTCTTATATTATTTATCATATCTTATCTTTTTATTAATAAAATACTCACCGCATGTTACTTTATTCATTACACCGAAAGTAATTTGAGAAAGTCAACACAAAAATATTTCTTACTTAAATCACATAAAAATCAAAATGAAAAAAAACTTTTAGGGATCCAAAAGTAATTACCATGGGCCTATATGTGCGATATATCACATATAGAGTACCAATAAGTTGTATCCAAGCCCCAAGTTGCATAACGCTATATGATTTACGAAGCACTAAGTTTTGGCCCATTAACGCATTAAATACGAGTAACTCTTTTTTTTATAAAAAAAAAAGGCGATTGAGTTGAGGCCAGAGCTCAAAACCATTAGTAACAAAAACCGGCCCATCACCTCGTCCCTCCCCATTTTTATGTATTATTCCCGTCCTAAAAAAATTTCTTATTTTGATTTTTTTAGTCAAACAATGATACTCCCTAATCATAAAATATATATAATTTAAATAAATAAATAATACTCCCTCCGTCCATGTAAGATCTTCCCATTACGCGTTACGAGGCTTGACCGACTTTATTTTCAATTCAATTTAATTCATTATAGAAGTAAAATTATAAAATAAAATTTATATAGTAATAAACTACATGAAAAGTTCTACAAAACTAGAGGTAACAAGATTATATTATTGTATGAAATGACTAGTAAAAATGAGCAAACAAATTGATTAAAGTTTGACCATGTGAATAGTGTCTGGGAAGATCTATGGTGGACAGAAAGAGTATAAAAATATGATATATCAAAATTATATGCTAAGATAAATCTAATTATATTGAATTTAAATTAAAATTAGATATATTTTTTTCTCACAATTTATAATAAAAAATGTCATTGTTTGACCAAAAAAATCAAAACATGAAAGGTTATTAAGTCAGGGGGAGTATTAATTATGTGTTTGGTATCTATAGGTTAGAGTATTATTAGTTCTCCACTTCTCCTTAAGTGCTTCTTCGTTTATATTTTATACTCAAGAAATCATCTCAAATAAGGATAAAACAAAACTTTTACAGATTTTTATCCTCAAAATAGTAGTTTTAATTGTGACTATGTGGCACTGTATATTAGCATTTCATAATTTCTTTTTGACATTGTATAATGACATTATTGGTTTTGTAACTTTTATTTTGAAAATAAAAAACATGGAACTTTCATTTTAGGAGTTTCTCCATGTTTTACTCCTATGATTGTTTCTTATATTTTGGCCAATTTTATATTTCACACTCCTCCTTCCCAAATTGTTTGCTACATTTCGAAGGATGATGTGCAAACTACGGAGTATTATCTTTTTTAAAATTATTTTATTTACAAATTCGTAGTTAAATAAAAAATAAAAATTACATAATTCAAAAGTATATATAAATGATCAACCAATTCAAATGAGTATATAAATAAAAGTCATCGAGAGACTGAAATAATAACTGTGTCATTCTTTTCGAACGGAGAGAAAAATATTTTTTTCCCAACTGTTCGTACTTTTTTTTTGTTGGGGAAAAACCGTTCGTGCATAGAAATGTTTGGGTCTATTTTTTAGTGGTCACATTTTGTCTAATATTGCCTCCCTTAGTACCTTGTGGTTTTAAATTTCAATTTTTTCGTATGTGTTCATAAAAAGATTTGACGATGATGTATTAAGGGTCCGTTTGGTATACAGAATTGATGGAATTGGAATTGAATTAGAATTGAAATTCTATGGGATTCAATTCCATAAAATTGAATTCACCAATTCCAATTCATTTTTTGCACTATCAATTCCAAATCCACATAATTTTTGTTCTACCAAACACTAGAATTGGAATTGAAGTCTTCATTTCCAATTCCATAGTTTGAATTCCAAATACCAAACGGGGCCTAAAGAGATTTTCTTTATTTTCTCTCTTACGAAGTATGATGTCCCAAGGGTTACATACCAAAGGTACATGGACTTATAAGTGAGAGTTTTCTATTTTGCAAAAAGGAAAATTTTCTAAATTAAAATACAAAACTATGAAAATATTAAAATATAAGTCCCAAGTATGTTAAAATCAAAATAAAAGTGTAAAATGTCATTTTTACACTACCACGCATCCCACATCGACCGGTGGTCTGCTGGTAGTTGACTGATCATGCTGTCGTATTACATTGTCATCACTTTTCTATCACAGTGCCAACACTTACATCACACTGTCATTATACTTCTGTTTCAATTCAATCTTAAGAGGTTTAGGATTCATATTTTAGTATTCTTATTTACTTTTATCCAGGGAGATTTCTATTTGCAAAAAACTCAACACCTTTATGGTGATTAAAAACTAAAGTCCATAAAATGAGTATGGACGGTAGGACAAAATACTCTATATAATTTAATCATGCAAATAATGATTTTTTTATCTTATAAGCAAAATTTTCAATAAATTTTATACTCGGTAGACTCCGTATAAAGTATTTTAAAACTGAAGCACATGCGTTAATGGATTGCCATCTTGCAAGTTTTTTTTTTCTTTTTTTTTTTTGTGAAAGGCATTTGAATTTGGTTCATAAAAAAAATTATTGGATGAATTGAATTGACAAATGGATTGAGTGAGTGTGAGAAACGACCACTTCGCCGCGATGCACGCATTTGATTGTGGACTTGCAAATTCAACGTGGAGTCCTCTACACATATTAGACTTAGAGAGGGGCAGGTAGGTCTTTTTGTCCTTCCTTTATGATTTTAATTTTATTTTGTTTCATACTTTCCTACTAAATATTTTAAAACTCTTCTCGAGTACTCCCTCCATTCTAAAAACTTTTCATGTTTTGAATTTATTTGGTCAAGTAATGATATTTTTTGAGCATAAATTGTGAGAAAAATATTTTTAAATATAATATAAATTTGATATAATTGGGTTTATCTAAGAAAATACTCCTTCCGTTCCTTTAAACCCTTCCATTTTTGATTTTTGGCAAAAATAAAGAAAGTGTAATTTTGGTTGACTTTCTAATTTTGCCAATGATGTGATGGGTAAAAGTAAGATGTGATAATTTGGTTATTAGTGAAAAAAATATGATGTGATAGGTATGGTATGAAAAAGTAAGGGTAAATGTGGTTTTTAATAGAAAGTGGAAGTGTTTTAGGAAATTTAAAAAAAACGAAAGGTGAAGGGTTTTGTGGAACGGAGGGAGTAGTTTTAAGATATCAAATTTTTACTCTCTGGTCCCTATTTTGATTACAATATTACTTTCTCTTTCCTCGCGATAACTTTTGTTTATTTGTGTGTTTTCATTAATTATTTGATAAAATAAAATATTTTTGCAGGTCTTGTTTTGTAGAACTTTGGATGTAGTTTTTCAGTAATATGTATTTTTTATTTTTTATTGATGTACCAATTTATAAAAAAATAATTTTAAAATTTGTGGAATTTTATCTCGTGGTTCCCATTTTGTAATCAAACTAGGGATTGAGGATGATGGTGTAAATTAGTAGGATAGTAACGTAGCTATGTGAATAATGAGTAATACGAAGTAAATTTTATTTAAATGATCGATCATTGTAGTTAACCTTTTAAACTTAGAGAAATTTATCTAAATAAAACTAAAACATATCACATGTTTTTATTTTTCTAATGTATTATCATTGCTCAATGTACATTGGTTATTATTTAGCTAAATGTTTAGCGCCATTAGACATTGTTCAAACTAAATATCCACCATCAATGGGCATGGTTTCCGCCACTAACATTATTCAAGTAGTATTTAGGAAATAAAAAAAGTTTACGGACTACATTGTGAAAGAACATACTATTTTCGTCCCAACGTATTTGTCCATTTTTTATTTTTTTTCAGTCAACCATTTTTAAACTTTGGACTATATTTAAATAAAATATATTTTGTATATTAGTTAGATAAATTAATATTTTAAAAAAGTTTTATATAATAAATCTTGTTTTTAGTATTGGAGAGTAGGTACTTTGGTAAATTTCTTATGGAATAATACACATCATATCCAAACCAATAAACGGATGAGACATAAGTCAAAGGTCACATAGCCATAGTAGAAGCGTCACATGGCAAGAATAGGACGACCGCAATGGCGTTAGTTCTTCATCATCTACTTAGAGCACTGGTAATACATGCAACGCCCTCCGGCGTGATAGGGCATTTAACGCCCCGGAGGCGTGAAACACCGCCCCCCGCCGGACGTGAAACGGCGTGATTGGGCTAGCGTCAAAGGAATGCCGCTGCGTCATTCCATTCCCCTCCCCCCCTAACGGCTATAAAGCCGTTGCACCCCATTTAAAAAAAAATCTTATAAATTCAAACCTCACCCCACCCAATCTCTCACACCTTCTCTTCAATCTCTTCTTCTTCCCATTTTAAATTTCGAAATTACCCCCTCTCTATTCAACATGAATTCTTCCGGCTCCGGCTTCTTTCCCGACGATCTCGCGCCCGTCGACGCCGCGATGTGGTATTACCAAGAGTTGGGCGATCGACCGCCGATGTACGAGATGCAATCGGGGTACGTCGACCAAGATTCGGTTCCGGAGACTCAACCGGAACCGTCCGGATCGAAAAAAAATACACGCCGGAAAAGCCACAAAGCCAAAAGCACGTTGACCGAGGCGGCACGGTCAATCCAAAAGTGGGCGCTGGAGGAGGAGTGCATATTGGCGTCGGCTTGGGTTGACGTCTCCGAGCATCCTATCATTGGTTAAAAATTTATTTTTTGTAATATATTTATGTTTTTATTTTTATATATTATATTTAATGGTGTCTAAAAAAAATTGTGTAATACATTTTTAAAGGTACGGAGCAAACGAAGGATGCGATGTGGGATCGTATCAGGGAGAAGTTCTTCACGGCGATGAAGAAGGACGGCTCCTACCGAACCCGGGACCAACTCACTTCCAAATGGAGCCACATCAACAAAAAAGTCCGAAAGTTTATGGGAGTTTACGAGGAATGCTCCTGGTCCCGGAGGAGCGGCACGAACGACGCCGATGTTCTCCGGCTTGCCACGACCCGGTATCAAGACGACGGGAACCAAGGCAAGGTGCCCATCGATCTTTGGAGGATTTTGAGTCGTTCCCCGAAGTGGCAACAACTCAACAATCTCGACGGTGGATCGTTCCGGAAAAGATCCACCGTCGACGCCGAGGTTGAGGTCGACGAGACTATCGGTTCTAGCGATCAAATCCCTCCCTTCAACGTTGCGGATTCCGATGACGAGGACCCCATTCCACGGCCGATCGGAAGAAAGAAGGCAAAATCCATTGCCTCTGGTTCGGGAGGGTCTGCCTCTGTTTCCGCTTCTCCCCGCGACGAAAATCGGCCGGACAATGATTGAACAACTTCGGGCGTTCAATCTCCAAGAACAAGAGAAGTTGAAGCTAAAGGAGAAGGAGTTGAAGCTAAAGGAGCACAAGGCCGAGATGAAAGTCATGCAAACCGATCCCGGGACGTTGTCGGAGTTTGGACGAATAATCTATGAGCAAAGAATGAGAGAGATAAAGGAGAAATATAATTTACCTTAGTTTTTTTATTAATGTATCTTTTTTTAAATTATTGACGCTTTTTTTATTTAATGAATGTATTTTTTATTATTCGTGTTTCAATCTAATTAAATAATAAATTAATTACATTTTATTAATTTAATTTTAGAAGATGTATATTTAAAAATGTAAAAAATGAAGGTCTGAAGCCCAGTTTTGAAGCCCTGAGGCTTCAAACCCATTTCCAGTGAATTTTGGGTGTAAATTAAAACTGACGTGGCAGATAGAGAAAGTTTGAAGCCTCGGGGCTTCATAACCATTACCAGTGCTCTTACTTTGACGTTTATAAACTCTCATGTTGTTTGTAGCCCCTTTTGCATGCATGTTTAATAGCCCTTTTTAATGTATTTTTGTAGAGTTTACATTTAAAAATTAAACGCTAGAGAGTACTCTCCATGTCTCATACCCTCTCCGTCCCTTGAAGTTCTTTTTCTAATTAACTTTTAGAAAATTTAAAGAGATATATTTGTATTAATTTTTCAAAAATATGAGTAAAACTAAGATATGGAATATCATAGATAGATTATTTGTAAAAAGGTATGATGTGATAAGTAGTGTAAAAATTAGTACGACTAAAAATAGATTTTTATAGAAAAAAGAATGAATTTGTGGGACAAGAAAAAAAAGAATTGAGAAAGAGTTTAAGGAACGAAAAAAGTATATAACTAAAGTCACATTGTGGATTAAAATGGTTGACCGAATTTATTTTTTAAATTTAATTTATAAATGATCATACAAAATTACAAAATACAGAGTAAGATTTACTCTGTATATTTTTTAAAAAAACTATTTCAAATATTTAAAACAAGAGATGGCAATAAATAATTATAAGTAGAGAACAATTTAACCTTTTTTAAATGAATTTAACTTTTTTGTGCATCTTTTTCCAATGTAGTACCTACCACTTTATTATTTTCTTAATAATGTTTGAATAATGTCTAGTAGCGATAACAATGTTCAGTAAGAGCATGCAACTATGCACTAAATAAAAAGATGGATGATAGTTTCTTCCGAGGCGTGGCACAATGGACAAACATCCTAATCAAGTACTCTCGTCCACGGGTGGCCCGAAGATGTGCAAAGTGGCCGACCGCACAGGGTCCACTAAAATTTTAGGGCCCCATATTTTCAAATTTATTAATAATTTTAAAGAAAGAGTATTCTAAAAAAATAAAATAGGGCCCAAAATATAAATTTAGGATCGGACCAATTTTATTTTTTCATTTTTCAGGGCCGGCCCTGCTCTCATCGCAATTAAATTGCTACAACAAGGAAGGGTATTATTTATTTTCCTCCAAAAAGAATGGGACGGTTTGACTTTTTGGAAAATTAAGGGAGAGATATTTTGGTATTGACTTTCCAAAAATACCCTTGATGTGATGGGTAAAAGTAGGATGTGATGAGTAGATTATTAGAAAAAAAGTATGATGTGATAGGTAGGGTATGAAAAAGTAAGGGGTAAAAGTGATTTTTTAATAAAATGTAACGGACTTTACGGGACGCAATTTTTTCTAAACGTAACAAACTTTTTGGGACGGAGGGAGTAGTAAAAATAAAACAAAAATACACGAACACAATAAGAGTGTCATAAATGCCATATGAATTCTACGATTGATATGCAATTGTGTAACAATTTTGTACCTTCTTCTTTAATTTGGGAGGTATATTTCATATTAGGGGTGGTATCTTTACCTTCTTTAATTGGGATGTATATTTCATATTTTTGTCAATTACTTTATTTATTACTCGTATATTTTTTATATTTTTGCTCTAATGTAATATTGCAAAATTTTACCCCATAATTTGTATCACTGTAATTTATAAAAGTTAACAAGTCAACAGTTATTAATAAAACAGAATAATTTCTTTTTTGATTTTGTATTTTTTAAGTTTTTTCTGCTCGCATTTATAATTTTACATGTAAAATTGGACATAAGTACATTTGCTTATTTGACAATTGACATTCTAATTTTTTTGAAGAAGTTAGATTCTTATAAAGTTTTTAAATTAAAAAAAATACTCTACAATAATCAGAAAAAACAAATCTCAATTTATCTCGTCATCTACCTTCTTCCTATAGAAATTTCTATTTTTAAAAAGGTTCGGCGGTCGTTGCGCAATTGGAAAGACATAAAGTGTCAAAAGTTAAGGTGGGAGTTCGATATTTGATAAAGACAACTATGCTAAGAGCACTCGAAATGGTCATGAAGTCCCGGGGCTTCAAACTGGGGCTTCAAACTCTCTGTCTCTGCCACGTCAGTTTAACTTACACCAAAAATTCACTGGAAATGGTTTTGAAGCCCCGGGGCTTCAAACTGGGGCTTCAAACCTTCATTTTTTACATTTTTAAATATACATCTTCTAAATTTAAATTAATAAATTTAAATTAATTTATTATTGTAATTAATCGCAATGAGACTAGTGCATTAAAAAAATTACATTCATTAAAAAAAATCTTACATTCATAAAAAAACATTCATAAAAAAATTACATTCATTAAAAAAATATTACATAAAAAAACAACAGTACAAAGAAATCACTAATTATTCGAATGACTAAAGATATGCTCGATCAAATCCGCCGTTAGTGCATTGTGAATCTCTCGGCTTCGAATTTCTTGGCGGTTGCGTCGTTTCTTTTCTTTGGTGATTTCTTCGTACATAGGCATCTCCTCGTCCGGGTTGTATTGACAAATCGCAGACCCGTTATCCTCTATGATCATATTATGAAGAATAATACATGCATACATGATATTCCTCAATTTTGAAAATTTATAAACACAGGACCTGATACTCCGAGCCGACATCTTCAAGTATTCGTCGAACAAATCGGATGCCGTCCCGTACGCCAATTGACGGAGCGCGGAAGTGCACTTCTGGACGCTACTAAACTCGCGTCGGCCTCTCGCATCAAACCGTTGGGTGAACCAAGGAACCTCGCGTTCAACATCGGCGAGTATGCGTAAGAAGAGAGGACGACTCATCCGAAAACGATTACTAAAATTCCCCGGTGTATAAACCAAGGAACCTCGCGTTCAACATCGGCTTCTTCTTGGCCATCTTCCCACCATTGAATACAATTCGTCGCGAAACAACGAAAAAATAAAGCTCTTCTTTCATCGTCGGAAGATGAACCCATTTTTAAATTATATTTTATAAATATTTATAATAAATAATAAATATTTTAGAGAGAATATAAAGTAATAAAGAGAGATGTGTGAGAAAGATGTATAAGAAAGGGGGATTTTATATGTTTTTTTTAATTTAGATTTTTTTTTTAATTTGGGGGGGAGGTAACGGCTATACAGCCGTTGGGAAAGGGGGAGCCGGTGGAAAAACGCAGCAACGCCACGTCAAACTAATGACGCTGGTGAAGTCACGCCCGTGTCACGCCGAGGGGGGCGGTGTTTAACGCCCCCGGCGTTAAACACCCTATCACACCGGTGGGCGTGAGAGGTATTACCACTACTCTAAGTATAGGATATCTGCAAGTATTACATGCAGACATTACCTTTTGTTACCAATCTACAATCAAATCTAATTTATCTTAATAAAATAACCTAAAGTTGATTAATATGACATTCTATGCTCTTTAAAATCCCTAATTAAGGAGCCGAAAACGCAATTTCTTCACCAAAACGGCATTAGCTTTACCCGTCTGCTCGCTTTAGTTTCCTTTTTCAGTCTTTAAGGCAGACCACAGCTGAGCCGCTTTTGCTGGTTCACTCCTTTCCAGAGCTTCACTTCACCGGCGAACGAAGAAGGGCTCTCCGTGTGGGCCACCGGTTTGTCCATTCGCTTCGTCTCTGTGTATATTGGGGCTGTCAGGAGGTTGTAGCGCATTCTTCGGAATATGGAGAGAAAGCAAGGTTTTTTTTCCGCTCTGAAAGAGGAGCTTGTTCGCGGGCTGTCTCCGGCGAGTTCTCGGGGAAGAAACCCGTCGCCGTCGGGTTCCGGTCTCCTCCGTCGCAGACGGCCGAGTCATGCTCACCCGCCGGATGCCTACATTTCGAGATCGGGGAGTTTGAGGCCCGGCGGCGTCGAGACGCTGTCGCCGTTGATGGAGGGGCCGGATCCGAACGGGGCCGAGGGAAGTGACTCCCGTAGCGAGAAGTGGGGTAACTGGATGAAGGGCCAGCTGAGCAGGGCTCCATCCGTTTCCGTTTCCGGGTCGGGTTTTCAGCAGCGGGCGGATCTGAGACTTCTGCTCGGCGTCTTGGGCGCCCCACTCGCCCCGGTGCACGTTAGCAGCTACGATCCTCTTCCTCATCTCTGTATTAAAGATACTCCCATTGTTAGTCTCTCTCTCTTTCCCTCTTATTTTCTGCAGTCAATTTCGTTCCCTTTCCAGAATCCATCAACAAATCGTTTTCAAGCTCTAAATACTGCAAACAATTTTGTACAGCAGCAAGTTTTCAACCATGTTTCAACGCCCAATTTTCAACTTGAAGCTTAATTTCCTTTTTTAGTCAAAAAGATGCCCAAATGTGGCTGTGAATATTCTCTTTCCAAACTCTCGAGTTCTTTAAAACTTTGCTTTATATATGTAATAATAACACAGAATACTATATAATGAAGCTCTGGTAAGGAATCTCTGCAATTTGGATAATTTAGTTTCAACTTGATAAAAAGTGCTGAACTGAAAACATGTTGACTAGAGTCTGATTTTAGTCAAGGGCAAAGAAAAACCCGGTTGATGGATTGGTTGCAGCATTCATTAAAAGCAACTGAAATCTATGTTGAACGGATTCTTCAAGTAAGTGTCGCTTTGTGACCCAAGTTTCCGTTAGGGCATTTGGGTACATCCCCACATTGAAATTCTATGTGAAATTTAGAAAAATTGGCGTTACCCGGTTCCCGATCTAAACCCGTCCGAGTACCCGTCTGTGCTTCTGTGCAACTTAGACTGAAGTAATGTAATGGAGGGAGAGAGAGAGAGAGAGAAAAAGATAGAAGTGTTTGCCAGGTGATGAAATTCAAGAAATTCATGTCACTTGAATTTCATATCTATGAATTTATTGCACTTGTGGTCCTTGATTTTGATCTTCCAAGGTCACTTCTATACACCTGTAATGCATTAATGGGAGGGATTCTTCTATTATTGTCACATTCTTGTTTGTACCATCTTGATTTCAGCTTCTTCTTTAAAAAGAAAATTGGAGTTGATGAGGCTCATATATATGTGGTGGCTTTGATTTGGCTGCAGGAAACTTCATCAGCTCAATACATATTGCAGCAGTACACGGCCGCATCCGGAGGCCAGAGGCTACAAAATGTCATACGCAATGCCTATGCAATGGGGAAGGTGAAGATGATGGCATCTGACATTGAGACAGCCACCAAGGTGATAAAGAGCAAAAGCTCTTCTAAAACGGCCGAGAGCGGCGGGTTTGTGCTCTGGCAAATGAACCCTGATATGTGGTACGTCGAACTCGCGCTGGGGACCAGCAAAGTTCACGCCGGTTGTAATGGGAGCCTTGTTTGGCGGCACACTCCCTGGCTTGGTGCTCATGCGGCTAAGGGCCCCGTCAGACCTTTACGCCGCGCTCTTCAGGTGACATTTTAGTAACTGATAGAGACACACTTAATTCATACTTAAAGTGTGTGTTTGGAATCTGGAAAACAACTAGGGAAAGAATATAGGGATGAAACTTTGATGGGAATTGAAGGATAGAATCAAACCAAACATTTCCTTTCCTTTTTCTAGTAGGGACTTGACCAAACTTTGATGGAAAACATCTGTTTTTGGGATTTCACTAGGCTTGTTCTAGTTGTTGTTGTTTGAACTCATCCAATAACTTTACTTTTATGATAGAAAAATAAGTTGGCACACATTTCTTTTCCTTTTTTCTACTAGGGACTTGACCCAAGAACAACAGCCAACATGTTTGCGAATGCGAAATGCACGGGAGAGAAGAAGATCCACGGCGAGGATTGCTTTGTACTCAAACTCTGTGCGGATCCACACACGTTGAAGGGGAGGAGCGAGGGGCCCGCAGAGATAATCCGGCACGTCCTGTTTGGTTACTTCAGCCAGAGGACCGGTCTTCTGGTCCACCTGGAGGACTCCCACCTGACCCGAATCCAAACGAACGGTGGGGGGGACGCCGTGTACTGGGAGACCACAATCAACTCGTTCCTCGACGACTACAGACCGGTCGAGGGGATCATGATCGCCCACTCGGGCCGGTCGGTCGTGACGCTGTTCCGGTTCGGGGAGACCGCGATGAGCCACACCAAGACCAGAATGGAGGAAGTGTGGGCCATTGAGGAGGTGGCGTTCAATGTCCCCGGACTGTCGGAAGAGTGCTTCATTCCGCCAGCTGAGCTGATTCTCAGCGGCGGCTCCTCCATCGGCGAAGCCTGCGAGTATTCTCAAGGCCAGAGAGTACAGCAAACCACCACCATGTCTGCTTCTGCTGCTGCTGCTGCTGCTGCTGGGTACAGAGCAAAAGTTGCTGCACTGAATGTTTAACCATGAATGAATGAATGATCAAGGAAGAAGGCAAGCCAGGAAGCAGTAGTCGTCGTCATCGTCATAAGCTGATTTAAGGATTTTTGTACTTGAAATTAAACTAGTCTTTTCTTACCTCATCATTATCAATCTGTAAATATGTTTAATCTCTTTAGTTCTTCGCCAGCCTTTCTGTACTGTGATCTTTGGCCTGGCTGTTGAGGTCAAAGCCTAACTATCATTATCGAGTAAGCCCTTAGTGCTGTGTTTCTTCTTGCAATGGTTTTTATTAAAAAAACTCAGTAGATTGCCCAACTCTCTTCCTGTAACTGTACATTCACTGGGAAAAATCTGTACTTTTTTTACATAATTGGAAATAGNGGTGTATCAGTTAAATCATAACCTGCAGTAAAGAGACATTAAATAAAGGAAATGTAGAAAGAGTGCAGTGAATGGCATAGGGAGTGAGTGATAAATGGCAGGGGGATTGCACAAATCATGCGTTTCTTTTCACACACCTATCCATCCAAAGAAATCACCTCAAATATGATTAAAACATAGAGAAAATATCAAAATAAAAGTTCTACGTTTTATTCCATAATTAAGAATTCGCATTGTGGTAATGTGACACTGTACATATACATTTTACGTAATGTATATGGTCATGATTGATAATGTAAATATTTTTTAAGTCTTACATGTAAATATTGCTAATGTTTTATTCATACTTCTTTTTCATGTGTCATCATCGTAAAGCAGCATTTTAAACTGGGATTTGAAGCCTGCAGATTCGTTGCCCCCAACTTTCACATGTAATCATCATAATTATTAGTGTTGTTGAATGATGGCAAGTTGGCTATGGCCCCGCCCACGCTCGTGGGCGTTTCCTTCCCCCCTTTTTTTTAATCCCTCTAGGGTACGGTGTAGGTGAGGTAACTTCTTTTTTATCCCTCTAGGTGAAGAAGACCTGAAGTAACTTTGGTGATTGTGGTTGACTTAATTTGAGTCTTGACAACGGTGAGAAAAAAAAAAGGAATCAAGTAGCTTGTGTTTGACTTGTTGCATGTATCGAAACAAATCATTTCATCTAATTCATTGCCTGAACTTGTATTAGAAAAGTAGAATAAATAAAGTTTTATGGAGTATGAAATACACAATGTTTCCATTAAGAAAAACTAAAGAAGCAAATGTAAAATGGAGTGCTTATACTTGTCTCTATAGTCGTATTAATATGTTTTTTTTTCCTATTTTTATTTCTGTCGCCAATTCTACCTTTGTTCCTTTTTCTACTTGGAATTTAATACATTTGTTTTCCCTAGTCTAAAACCGAGTACTTGTACGGAAAAAGTTGGATTTTTATACATTTTTCTAGTCCTATTTTTGTCACCAACCTTACTTTTGTTAATGAAACACGGAGTTCACAATGTCTACTACTCCCTACTTTATGATTCATAAACAAAAAGAAAAATGCAAACTTGATTTTTTGCAATTGCACTATGAGACAACTGTGCTAAATGTTGAGCGTTTGCAAATACCAAAAAATGTTTCACTCTTATATTTTAATTTACGGTCAAAGTCAATTTACTTTCTATTAGTGTTTGTTCGATTGGGTCTGAAAGAGCCTTCGAGAATAGGGCTAATTTTGTTTTTCATAAACAAATTTTGTATGGATGTATTTTGATCACTATTAACAGCTAACTAAGCGCATGTTGTTAAATGAAATGTTTGAAAGAGAGATGGGCCGTTTTTCTCTCAGTAGTCAACATTGGTTTGGCCCTACTAAACATTTGTAAAAATATATCTGGTCCATTTGAGCGAGAGCCAATATATCGTTTTTTATTGGATCCAAAATCAGTGAAGCTCAGACTCTAGTTGATTTTGGCCGCCGGTGAGGGAAATGGTTCTCACTAACTTCAACGGAGCCGGAATCGGATTCGGTACGTCTCTTCTCCGATCTTCTTCTTCTTCTTCTTCATAGTTCATATTTCCGCATCTGATTCGTACAGGTTTTGGGATCGGCTGCGGTTTCGGCGTCGGCTGGGGTTTCGGTGGTACGTATCTATGATTTAAGCTTAGATTTGATCTCGTGACCCCTGATTATCAACAACATTCTTGCGATTAGAGGCCAGAGAAAGATTTGATAATGCCAGTTCTGCATTTCCTCGCAGGGATTCCGATGAATTTCTTAGGTCTTGGAGCGGGTAAACAATGCATATTCAGTCATCAAAGCAGTGTTTATAATTTGGATTTACTTTATTTTTTGCTTCTTTGAGAATTCACTGTCAAATGGAATGAATCCCTCTTTGGGTTTTATCTGAACATTGAAATGTTGTAATGGAAGGTGGTGGGTGTGGCATTGGAGTGGGTCTTGGATGGGGGTTCGGCACCGCCTTTGGAAGTCAGTACAGGAATTCTAGGGTTTCCTTTGAACTCCATGGAAGCAAAGCTGGAGCACAAAACACAATCACCAGGAAAGCTGGTGCTGATGATGATGACTCTAATAAGTTGTAACTTTTCTTGGTCAATTTTTGTAGTTTTATTTTACCAAAACACTCAATTTGTTGGAAAAGAAACACAGTTTGCTGTCCAAATACCCTATGTGTGCCAATGAATTATACAGAGTAGTTTTTTTTGCTCCAGTATTTCTCAAAGTGTATATCATTAAAAAAAAACAACTAAAACGCTGTTTGAAAATGTTGATTCCAAACAAGACTTTATCCAAATTCAATTGTGCATTCTACATAATCACATTCAATTGAGATGAGGAAGCATATACACAAATGATACAGAGTAAATCAAGAGCGCAAAGTTCTTAATCCTAGCTTTGCTCAAAAACACTTCTAGAGTTCAATCAATTTGTACTTTTGAAGCTATAATCTATAAGTTAAAGCAGATTATCGAACACTCAAAATGGTATTTGGGCAAACTAGGAATCAAAAGCTATTTTCTGACACAATCCCAAACACCCTCACAATATCTATCTAATCTTTGATGGGTTAACCATATCAACTGATAGAATGGGAAAGAGAATGCTACAAGTGTATAACCACAAGAGACATGCAAAAGGAATAATTGATCTATTTACAACATTTTTTCGGGTAACAAAGTGATTCTTTCATAGTGTGGGATGCAATGGTCACCTGTGTCATCATCCATAAGATTCATTCATTATATTATATTACAGTGTACAAGCAACAATGATGGAGAAGAAACCCAGAAAACTATAAACCAGAAACAGTTAAAGCACTTCACTAACAGCAATTGTATAGGGAGCATCGCCGAATCCCATACTCTGCAAGCTCCCTTCCTCCCTCCTCCAGATTCAATAGTAGATTTACTGATCCTCTTCACATATGCAATGCTAAAAAGACTGCATATCAAATACAAATAACATAAGTACCAAATCTCATTCTAAATTTTGGATACCAGATTCAAAAACATCTCATTCTAGGATTCAGAATCAACTTTCCCATGGATCCAAACAAAATGCACCATAAGTTTATGAACTGAGCTTAAAAAGAGATGTAGAAGCTCTAACAAAGAGGCTCACCAATCAAGCAGAGAAGAATGACGGTGAAACCCACCCGGACAGAACGACTATATTGCACATAATACTGAGACCTCTGAATCTGTCGCTGAGCAGCTCCGTACCAACTATGGAGTTGCTTGTCGTAGCACTTTTCACATCCATCTAGACAACTCTTGCTCCTTTCATAACATGGATTGATGCCCTTTATGAAACAAAGCAAGAATACTCTATATAAGAAGAACATCTATTTTAAAAGATATCATTTCTTCCTTTATTTAAAAACTACTTCGCATTAGGAATTTTTTATCATTATCTTTATCAAGTATAACCTCTCAATTAGAATAAAAATAGATACTTCCAAGACTATTCTTATACGGAGCTTTACAAAATACATGAAAAAAAAGATCTTGAAAACCAGAATTGTAAATAAAAAAAGGAATCAAAGCCAAATGAAGTGTAACTCACCCTAGACAACTCCTGAGTATGTGGTAAAGAAGCATCAACTTCGTGGTGGCAATCCGTGACCTTCAATTTTCGGTACCCATTCTTTGCAAACTTCAACTTAGCTGCAGATTCCATGGTATTCAAGAATCCAGATAAACTGGGAACCTTCCGCGGGGGCGGTCCTGGTTGTGTGTTGTCCAAGACATCGTTAGAAACTGCAATATTCCAGGAACCAATATCCGCACTGGCGCTTGCAGTTCTCCTATGGCCCACAAGCTTCTCTTCATTAGTATCTCCTAAACCCCCTTTCTCTTTTTGCTGCTCCTTACGATTCACTGACAAGAACAATGCCAGTTCATCGCGCTCCCCCTCATCCAAACGCACCCACGGCGATGGTGGCTTCCCTTGAGAGATGGCCGATTCATTCAAACTTCTCTCAACTTTCTTGATCTGACAGTCTATCGCCACAACAAACTCGCTATGCCTATGTTCTGCATCATCAGCTGAGCCGTTAGGGTAGCTTGATTTAACCGCCCGTTCAAACTCCTCCAACTGCATTAACATTATAAAAAATTGTCCATATTCCACAACTACAACAAGTTCATATTTTTTTCCCTCCTTCACAACAATAAATAAATAAATAAATTCCTTTCGAAGGAATCCCACTGCAAATTAGAGGGTTCACCTGCCATTTGGTAGTGCCAAGAGCAGTCTTTAGATCTCGGCACAGCTCTTCGGAATTCCAAACTTTAGATTTATCCTTAGCCAATTGAATCCATGTTCTATAAACTGATTCCATCCTTCATTAATTGAAAAAAGGAATATAAAATGTTTCTCCATTTTGAATAAGATCCGGAAAATGAAAGAAAGCCCTCGTCTTTACATTTCGACCAGTATATAAATTGAGATCAATCATTAACAGAGCCCGATAAAAGAAAAGAAACCAATAAAAGAAAAAATTACAAAACATACGAAACACGAAATGATTGTAAGTTTACCTGTCTGCAGATTCCTGGACCTCTTCGGCTGCAGAAAAGAAAGGATCTTTCTCCCACCGATCGAAATGGGTCGCCATGTATGTCGTCTACTTTTAACCTCACTTGATTCCAAATTATATTTGCTGATTACAAAATCTTGACGAGTTTATTCAATCAAAATGCCTAATTTACAGAAGAAAGAAAGGAACAGAAAAGAAACCTAAACCAAATTTACAAAGAAAAAAAAATCAAAAGAAGAAAAACCTAAAGATCTTGGAGGAAAAAAACAAGAAAAGAAGATGATGCTCCGAATTTGGAATCGAATATTGCTAAAATACAGGTGCCAATGAAATCGGAAAAAGCATATTTAGGCGTGCGTTTGTTGATTCGAAGCTGGACAAATACAAAGAAGAAATTTAGCAATTATTAAGATTGGAAACCAAAAAAAAACGCAGAGATGTAGGCGAAGTTTACGACGTCGTTTGCTCTTTTTTTTGTGTGTAAAAATTAGGTGGCTTATGAAAGTTCGAACAACCCAATTCCAGGGTGGATAAATAATTTCAAATAAATATGGAGTAGTACTTATTCTCTCCCACCCACAAAAAACAAATCCCCTTTTATGATTTGAGTATTAAACTTCAACCACTTTCATTCTTTAATTTTTTATTTTTTATTATCATTTGGTAAAAGAATATATTATTCTCACATCTTATTTTATAAACCTTTTTTATATGGTTTTACAAAATTTATTTTATAAAATTATCTCATTTTCTATTGTATTAAAAACTAAATTCAATCAATACTCGTTATGCGTGTGAACAATTTTTTGGAGAGAGATAATACTCCATCTTTCTTATACTCTAGTACTATCTTTTTTCCAATTTTAATTTTTGTGATAAAATTTTTTAAAGTTAAATGGGAAAAAGACAAAAGTAGAATTAAAACGTTGAAAATATATTCAAATAGGAGTTTCATGTTTTTATTCCCGAAATAAGAGTTAAAATGCATTTATATTACCAATCATGATCATGTCCATTACGTAAAATGTACACATGTACATTGCCACATTGCCACAATGCAAACTCCTATTTAGAGAATAAAAATATGAAACTTCTATTTTGATACTTTTTTTATGTTTTAGTCCTATTTATGGTGATTTCTTAAGTTAAATACAATGCTTAATAAATTTAAAAAAACACATAGAATTTTGATATAATTTTAATATCAATATAATACTTTTAAAACATCATATTTTTATAATATTTCGTATATATTTACAGATAAATAGAGATATTAAGGAGTATAACACTAAATGTCAAATCATGAAAAATCAAAATGAAAGAAAATATAAGATGAAAAGAGTGTGAAATTCTCCATCCGTTCTAAAATGCCCCGCAGCCCACACTCTTCTTTTATTTGTGTTTTTTCACTTTACGTTTTAGGTAATACGTATCTCAATATCTTTTATTGATTCACTTCAAAATAAATTGAAGTACATACTTTTCATTCAATATTTTTCACTTTTAAACACTTTTCTAAAATCTCATAAAATATTTTTGTATATGTGTAAGATTCTGTAAAATATTTTCAATTAGTAGTAATATTTTGAATTAAAAAATTTAATGCTATAAATCAATTTTAAAAATATTAGCATTAAAGTCTTAAAGACCACTCGTATATAACCTTTCTCGAAATGCCAACACTAATATACTCCTTCCGTCCCACAAAAAAGATCACATTTTGACCATAGATTGGTTAAACAGTTACACGCTTTGACTACAAATTAAATATAATCTAAATAAAGAAATGCTAAAAAAATTTGAGATACCAAAACTAGATTCTAAGATGAATCCAATTATATTAAATTTATTTTATAATTCAATATACCTTTCTCACAATTTGTAGTCAAAGCGTGTAAATATTTGACTAAATACTACTACCTCCGTCCCTGAGTATTTGTTCACTTTTATTTTTACACACCATTCAATACACTTCTTTAATCCATTTCATCTTGTAATTTGTATATTAAAAAATTATAAAAATTATATACTAATAATCTATATGTTAAGACAAATCAAACAAGATCACACATGACTATATTTAGGCTTACACATTGAGAGAATTTGATGAGTCAAAGTGTTTAGATGAACAGTTCTAAAAGTCAAAACTGGATGAATACTATGGGACGAAGAGAATATTTAAGATGAGAACTTTTTTGTGGAACGGAGGGACTATAATGCTAATATATAATGTTGTTATCAAAGAAGGTCTTGATCATTCATTCTTTAATAATCCCTTCTCTTTCCGGCGCCAGTACAGCCAAACACACCCTAACTCGGCTCTGTCTGCAATCTAATTTCAACTGAAGTGGGCCTACTATTGACAATCTTATCATCACATATAAATATAATCTCGCGATTCTTCTCACACGCAAATTCAAGGCGTCATAAGTTTTCCCCAATTCTGAGAGAGAGAGAGAGAGATCCGGAAGAAGCCATGGGAGGAGGGAACGCGCAGAAGTCGAAGATGGCTCGTGAGAAGAATTTGGAGAAAGCCAGAGCCGCCTCCAAGGGTAACAATTCCTGTCCTTTCTTTTTCGAACTGCTTATTGATCGCATAAATTCCCGTTTGGGTTGCAAACAAGGCTTCAAGAATCAGATGAAATTGCTCAGATCTGAGCTGACCCATGGCTTCTGTTTGTATCTGCGCAGGAAGTCAGCTCGAAGCTAACAAGAAGGCCATGAGCATCCAGGTTTTTTTTTAATGAAATTTTAGATTTTTTTCCTTTTTTGCAATCTTTGTCTATTTATCTCACATGGATTCTGTTGTTTCTGGTCAATCTGTATGAACTCATGTGATTTTATGTGTGTGTCTTGATGCGGATCGAAATGGAGCCAGTGATTGATTGACCACTTGTGCTGAGTTCTAGAAAAATTTTCATTGTTTCTGCAAGAATTTGGTTGAATTTCATATACTTGTGGATGTTAAAAAGAACTTGAGTGAACCAATGGCGCTGTTGTCTTGTTTATTATAACCGGACAGAGAGATGAGTCGAAGAAAGAAAATAAATGAGTTTTGAAACGGAGCTTCATTCGTAAATTTCACATATTTTGGTTGGATTTGGTTACAGTTGTAGTGATAACATGCATCCATTGCCAATGGAGCTTAAAATGCCATTGTTTTCAATGTTTTGGCTTCAGGTAAGTAATAGACCAAATCAAGATGACACATTAAACTTCCCTTATACCTTACGTTCTACGGAGTAAAAAAGTTTTGGTAGTAAATCCATCAATGCTTGTGGAGTTGTGGGTCTAACAGAAACAACCTTTTTTTACGTGAGTAAAGGTTTGTACTTCTTAACCCCCGAATCCCACCAGAGTTGGGATTGTACTGGGTTTGTTGTTGTATAATTGGCTACATGGAGTTGGAAAATTGGAATTGAAAATGAATTTCTTTAAATCTTGTTTTTTATTCCGAACTGACAAAACTTAAAATCCCAAATGAGTTCTAGTATTTTACAAATTTTGTACAACGACAACAAACTACTATAATCCCAACTGTGTTGGGGTTTTTTGGTCAAGATGTATGCGACCTTTTCCTGTAAAACAAAGACGGTTTCTCTTAGGCCCTTGATGCATTGCTTCATTTACCATCCAAAACTTCATAGAAAGTAGGGAGAAAGAGAAGTTTCATATAGAGTTCATTTATAATTGTTTCTTCTAAAAACATTTTTGCCCACACTGTTGTTGCGGTCCAATTAGGAGTTGTCAAGAGGATGGATAGAAGTGCAACCAGGTCCGTATCATTCCAAAAGTTTAAGTTTTAGGCTGTGCTAGTAATTCTCTTTATGAAGACATAACTCTTCTATTGATCTTTCTATGTGGGATAAACTCAAATGTGGGATCCCAATAACTGCTCATGCACATCAACTTTGTCGGGGAAGAGCCTTTCTACTCATAGGGATAGAAGTAAGGTATATGTAATCTTAGCTTCCCCTTTCCCACTCTGGAATGGGATATCTCAGCCTCTCCTTTCCTTCCCCTTCGCAAAAGGATAAGATTTTGTGTAAAACGAAGTTTGGGACAATGAGACTATCCCATTTAGACTAAGTCTGGGCATGGGCAATCAGAAAAGAATATTCATGCATTATCAGCACCGTGGGCCAGGGTCCTATTTTTTCAGCTGTTTATATAGTTCATGATCAGCTATCATCCTCAGATCAGGAGAGGAGAGGATCCAATCTATCAAAAGGGTTCTTTTACTATGCATATTTGTCAACAACCATAAATTTATGAAAATAGGTGGTCTCTTGAGACATGGCCAAAATGTATCTACAAAATTTGGAAGTCATACTTTCCTAAAAAATATTGAGAAGTATTATTTTCAAGTTTTTAAGTATTACATTTTGGGACTGTTTCACACAAGTTTTGCCCCCATCACCACTTCCACCCAATAGCTACTTTGATTCATGAAGTTAGTTTTATTATCTTTCCCATATAAGATTGCAGCAATGTGAAATTCTTTGTATAAAGATAAGAGATTTGTTGTCTAAATGATTGGGTTGATTGTGGTGCAGTGCAAGGTGTGTATGCAGACATTCATATGCACTACTTCAGAGGTGAAGTGCAGGGAGCATGCCGAGGCAAGGCACCCGAAATCTGATGTGGAAGTATGCTTCCCCCACCTCAAGAAATGATCTCAAAAAGCATTGTTCTATTGTCTTTTCTCCTCCTCCTATGTTGTCATCTGTGAAACATGATCATCATTTGTGTTTTCTGCTTGGGTTGTGGCTTAGAACTGCCTTGCCAGTTTCTTCTTTATGTCTGTGTGAAATACTGAGTATATGTTATACTGTCTTATTGTGTTATTTGGATCATTGAACTGGTTTGGTTTCTTTATATTGGGCATAAATTAAACTTTATCGACTATTTTTATTTGCCAAGCACCTATTCATTTCACTAGATTAATTGAATCAACATGTCTTAGCTTTTTTTTTACGAGTCATGAAAACAATCCAAAGCCTGTGTAGGAATTTTTTATGGGGAGGTTCACAGGATTACAGCAAAATACCCTTGGTCAGGTGGGATGAACTTTGTTCCCCTAAAAACAATGGAGGGTATGGGAATAAAAAATATAGCGAATTGGAACAAAGCAAATATTATGAAGTTGAATTGGGATCCAGAAGAGCCTACTTTGGGTTAAATGGATTCATTCATGATATACTATAATATATGATGACTTTTGGGAGTATAGTCCTAAATATGATAGTTGTTTCTATTGAGAAAGGTTAAAGGTCCGTTTGGAAATAACGATTTCGATTAGCGTTAGTGTTTTGGATTAGATTTTAATGGTGCTAATTAATTTTGAAGACAATAACGCTAAACATTGTCTGTAGATAGATTTTTAAAAATGCTAACGTTAATCTCTAACGCTTTTTTCAAACATGCCCAAAGTCAGGGACACGAGTATCAGATGTGATGTTGCATCCACTGTAAAAGAGGGGTACATAGGGCCTCATGGCTTTGAGCCATTAACCAAAATAGACTTCATGGGTATGAAACAAATTATCTCAGCCAAAACAACAATTCATATTTTGGTTAATTTTGAGGGAGAATGTAAACAAGGAGTAGACTAAAAAAGTATACATATGGTAATCACAAACTGAAGGGCTGGATGGTAGAGTAGGAGTATACTGTTTAGATAGTTTTATTTGGTTGTTGTATAATATTGAATTGTTGTTCTTGGTGAAGTAATCTAGTATTCTTTCTATCAAATAAAAAAGATCTTATTATAATCCTAAAAATTGAAAATAAAAATAAAAACTAAGAAATAAAAAAACTTACTTCAACGTAATACCATTTTAGCTATTTCTTAATAAGAAAAATAATTTTTAATTTCATTAGGTTCTAATAAGAACATCTAATAAATGGAGAGTCTACTTTTTTGTCTTATGTTGGTTCGATTATTAGTGATTGTCGAGGCTTGTTATCTCAGTTTAATTATGCTACTTTGTCATTTGTCCCTCGGACATCTAATGTGATAGCTCATGTGTTGGCGAAAAGAGTTATGATGGAGGCTGGGGTTTGGTTTGTGACTCCACCTGATTTTGTACGGCCTTTTTTGGTTGAGTGAAGTGATTTCTTTGTTTTTTTTAAAAAATAAGAACATAATATTTTTATTTCTTAATTTTTGTTTTTATTTTCATTATTTACCAATTATTTCTTACCAGTTTCAGGTTAGTTTTTATTCATTATGGATTAATTTTTTATTTCATTATTTTATGGTTTTGGTTTTGTTTCTCATTTTCTCTATTCTTTATATCTATTTTTTTAATTTTTTCAGAAGACATTTTTTTTACAGAAAAAAATGATGAAAGTAAAATTGAATGGAAAATTTCAAAAATAAAAATAAAAATAAAAATATTTCAAAAATAATTTTGTCTTTCATGTTGTTGTTCAAAATAGGTCATTTCCGTTAACAAAGTGTTACCAGCTTAACGGTAATCAGAGCCCACGTATATTATTAAAGGTGGATTTTTTATGCATTACAATGAAAAATGAAATTATTTTTAAAAAAGTGAAGTAAAGATAAGATTATATTTTGAATAATTTTTCCTGAAAAGAAAATAGAGAGGTCCGAATGATATATTTCTTCCAGATTTCATAACTCATACTCTCTCCGTCCCAAAAAGTCTTTGCTGTTTACTATTACAGTCACTCGAGAATTCTTACTCCTTCCGTTTCTAAATAGATTACAATTTTTTCCCTCTCTCTCCTCTCGATAACTTTTGTTTGTTTACGCGATTTGATTAAGTATTTGATAAAATAAAATATTTTTGTCACCTCTTGTTTTGTAGAACTTTTGACGTAGTTTTTTAATATGTAATTTTTATATTTTATTGATATACCAATTTGTAAATAAAATAATTTCAAAAAGTAGAAAATTTTACTCCGTAACCCGCAATTTGTAGTCAAATTGGGGACGAAGGGAGTATTCATTTGCGTGTTTTCATTGATCTTTGGATAAAATAAAATATTCTTTTTACCTCTTATTCTAAAAAGTTTTCGATGTAATTTTTAAATATAACTTTTATATGTGTTATTTTCTTTCTAATTTATAAATAAAATCATTTTAAAATTTATGGAATTTTGCACGATAATCAAAGTAAAAAATGATTTTTGAGAGGAAGGGAGTAGTGAACTAAATTATCTCCCAAACGCACACCCTTGTACAACTGGGCGCGACCCAAAAACCAATCTTGAACAACACAGTGGCATTATGATACTGGCATTCATTCATTCATTCATTTATCTTCTTCACCATTCCCCATAACTCATTCACATACCTCTCCTTTTCTCTCTCTCTCTCTCAATTTACTCTCTCTGTTCAGAGCGCCCACATGACCTTTCGACCTTTCCCAATCCCTCTTTTCTTATTATCGTCTCCATATCTCCTCTTCGTCTTCTCCCAATATATGTGCCGGGCAGTAGGGGAAGAAGAAGAAGAAGAAGAAGAAGAAGAAGCAGTCTTCCCCGCCCCTCTGCAAATTTTAAGCTCGCAGCGATATGAAGCTTATTGGGCCCTTCTCTCTTTTCGCCTGGTCCATTGGGCTCGCTTTCATATGCTCCCTCCTCTACGCCTCTTCTACCTCGAGTATTCATTCTTTCTTCTCATTCCATTTACATATCTCTCCATTTTTGTTCGAATTTCATAAATTCTCTTGAACCAGACATAGTGTTATGCCTTTTGAATTTGGGCAAAGAAAGATTTTGTTGTGTGTTTCTATGTTTTAGGTTACTAATGTCATAATGTGTTCTTTTTGTGCCTGTGTTCTTACTTTGTTTGCGCTATTTTGAAAAGTACCCTATGTTTGTGACTGGGATCTCTGGGAAACAGCCTCTCTGTTTCCGAGTAGAGGTAAGATTTTGCATTCAATCTCCGACTGTACTTTTTGCGGCATTATCGTAGCCAAAATGATAGATCTTAAGAGATCTCTCTGTTACGAGTAGCTATAAAAAGATTGAATCTAATCGACTACTTAGTTCAACTCAATAGGTTATATATCGACTATTTTTCTATTCAACTTTTGACGTGGAATAGACTCTAACATATAATTACAAAATAAATAAATATTGTACGAAGTACATAATTATGTTGTGCTACAAGTGTTATGCATGGATAAGGAGTAATAATGGGCCAAATTTGCATTCCCAATGGGGTGGGGCACACACAGATGAGGAATTTAGTTCAAGGATGAGAACCCATGCCATATTTATGCATTTTTTTACATCCATAAGTTTAAGAGTCTTTTTTATGGTTGGTGTTAAGGAACCCACTCAACCACAAGGCCAAGTTTGTAGTTGTAGGCTAATACTCTAATATAGTCTGACTTTGATGCTCATAATCTTTGTCCAAATGGCAATGTAGCATACTGTTTGATTTCTTTCCCAGTTTTTCACTATCAAGCTAAGCAAGAACATGGATTGATGTGGTTTGTTTAGCTGCCTAAATGGCAATGTCATTGTGTATGCCATTTTTGTTTGTTTGCGTGTTTACTCTTTGACGGGCGGTCCTGTTTGGTTAGTGGACTAATCAACCTTTTTTGGCTGATTCGACCATTTAATCGTGTTTGGTAAAAATCATATAACAACTTGCTCTTACTGTCCCCATTTTGCAATTTTAGGCTGTACCAAAGTGTTTGTTTCATACCATCTTTGGCAACATTGTGTGGCTCATAACCATTTCAAAAGCGTAGTCACGTCCTTGACTCCTTGTATGCAATTTTCAGCGTTGATTAATTGTGAACATTTGATACACGTGTTGCCAAACCCATACCTATTATGGCCAAATCATCTCCATTTGTGTTAAATGGACAAATTTACCCAAAGTTGGCTAACATCTAATAACCTTCTATGTATTTTAACAGCAAAGTTGTCATTTCACCATAAATGGAGTGGACTTAGTCATAATAGGAGTGAATTTAGAAACACCTGCAACACCTATTGAGATCCTTACCCAAAACCATTTGGCAATTTGAGGAGCAACTCGTATTCTTATATACTTGTCTTTTTTAGACTGAGTGTTCAATGGGGGACTATATTCTACAACACAATCCATTTGTCAAAACCGATAACACTTAAACATTCCCCTAAGAGGCATTATAAGTTTGTGCAGTGTTCATATCATCAACCATTGAATGTACACTAATCTTTGTCACTGAACAAACCCAGGTGACCCTTTGACATGGCAAGGCCATGGCATGGCTGCCACAACTAAGAACAGAACGCCGAAGGTACCACATGTATGAAAACACTCTCATGCGACGCATTATTTAGATTTTGGCATTTTGCAGTAGTAACTAATCTCTTCATCGAGTTGAAATTACATGCAGGATAATAATGGCCAGTATGGCCACTACGATCCAAGCTTTGAGGAAGAAGATGAGGTTGCACGAAAGGTTGTGAATTTGGAAGACTACCAACCGATCGATCCGGTCCCAAGCTCAAAAGCCTCTGTAAGACCAGGCCCTATAAAGCATGACACTCCTTACTTGCCTTTCATTCCTAAACCCCCTGCCCCTCCTCCGAAGATGGCATTCCCTTAATGTGCCCCACAAACCGATGCCATATCCATATGTTGCAGCCTTGCTTCTCTATATTATCGCAATATTTCGGAGTTATAATAATCTGGTAGCTAGTGATGTGATTATATTATGTGAAGTTTCGTACTTTTACTAAGTTCATGCACCATTTAATCTCTGTGTAATATTTTCTCCGGCTTGGAATTCATTTCTGCAATGTAAGTTTGTGAAGGAATGGCTGTGTTTGTTTGGTACACCATTTGTTGCTGCATTATGAATAAAAGTTTGATGTTTTCAAACAGTCCTCTTTTTGGGTGGTGCTTTTTCACACACGAGGGTGCATATGCCTACTCACATGCATCACACAGTCAACAGATGTCTTTAACATGTGGAAAATCATTACAAGCCCTTTTGCATTTGCAGCTCAAGTTTTCGGATGTCAAATGTGACATCGGGTCAATTTGGAGGTCTTGCGGTGCTCTGCTAGGTCTGTACCCGGTGGATGGGGTTAGGGGTGCACGGTAGGTGGGTGCTGGTCGCCCAATGAGGGGGTAGGGTAGGGGTGGGGCTTGTGGCCCGGGGAGTATTCGGTCTGGATCTAACAAAACACTACAGAATTCTCAAATAACTTCTGTGTCATAATATAACATTGAAATTTAAGAACTACATTGGTTTCTTTGACGACAAATACTTTGGTAGACCTTAGGTTCATCTTATTTTTGTGGGTCTTGTGTAATATTTTGATCATTTGCAACTATAATATGCCTTTTCAAAATTCTGAGTTTCTGAATGAAAATTGCAGAATATGTAAGTTGGTGCACATACTAGACATGGAGCTTAGGTATATATGGTGTAAAGTTTGGTAAGCACAAGTGTATAAAAAACACTTTTTTTAAATGGAATTTGGTTGAATTTCTAGAAGTATGTTGGAATCAATTGGGTTTGTGTTGACTAGTCTTACTCCAAAAGTTGAGAGTGCATATGATAAACGTGTTTGTGTTCCGCGGTGATGCCAAACGGCAGCCCACCTTTTTCTCAACCAACTCAAACTTATTTTCCAAACGTGGCCATCCCGTAAAGCTACAAGCCAAGTCAAGTACGGACAAGTCTATATGACGAAATTGTTATTGAATTATCTAGTTCAAATTCACATATTTTTATGTTACCAAACAGCAGAAATAAAAGTATCATTCTCAATTCTAATTTTATATTTTGAATTTAGTGTACAAACAGAGTGTACGAGTAATTTTTTTAATAACTAAGTGATAAGAATATTTTTATCTTAACAAATGATTAAAGAGAACTTGTAAGCAAACATAAATTATAGAAATGCCGTAATTGGAGAGAAAAATATTTATAGAAGTATTAAAGATTCTCTATATTGGGAATATTTTATATTTATTTCATATTTCATTAAATATTTTATATTTATTTCATGTTTTATATGTTATAATATTTTTTGGTGGTGAACCAATTACTCCGTATAAATGTTGTTTTTTAAAACAAGAGGACTAGAGGGTTATATTTTGGAGTTATGCTCCCGTTTGACCCCGACTTACGTGCTTATCCACTAGTCAACCGCGTCAACCCCACGTTTTCTAGTGGTGTCTTTCTTTTTTGGAAAAATTATCTCAAATAATCCCACCTTTTCGCGCTCTTTCAAAAATAATCTCACTTTTCACTCTCACCAGAAATAATCACACCTTTCCGCACGTGTGCGAGTTTTGGGTCACCGTTAAAAAACTAACAGTCACTTAACAGAATTTTCGAAAAATGCCCGTTTTTCGCAAATAAATGAAAGATGGGATTATTTGAGGAAATTTCTCTCTTTTTCATAATTTTAATTTCAAAATTTAAATTTAAATGTATTTTTATTTTTATTTTTTTCAAAAAATAATACCAAATTTATATATTTTTAGAGTGAAACTAATTATTTTTCAATATTCGATAATCTGGTAATAATTAGAAAATAAAGTATTCTACACAATAGAGCTAATTTATTTACTTCATAACTAACTACATTTTTTGTAAGTTGCATTTATTTTTCTTGAGTGACACTTCAAATTGTTTTTTGATACTATATTATTATTATTATTTCTTAAAAAAATGGCACTACAAAACTTATGAATATTTTTCGATAGTTCTATATAACCATTTTTCTCTGAAATGAAACTTTTATTTTTATAATTCACTACATTTTTT